CTATCTATCTATCTATCTATCTATCTATCTATCTATCTATCTATCTACCTACCTACCTACCTACCTACCTACCTACCTACCTATCTATTTAGGTTTATAGATGGGTTGTTACCTATCTATGTAACAAGAAAGCCTGTTGGCTGACCAGGCTGGCCTTGAACTCACATAGATCCTCCTGCCTCTGCTCCCAAATGCTGGGATTAAAGGCGTGTGCCACCACCACCTGGCTTAGCAGCAGTTAAATTTCCAATTACTCATTTTTCACCATACTTCTGTTCTTCATGCAGTTTTGAAAACAGCTTTCTCAAGTTCCTTTTGTGCTCCTCCCATGATGGATGTGCCTGGCATGCTGCAAAAAAATGGCAGAGTCGGGTACCACTCTGACTCTGGCTTAGGTGGTGGATCTTGCAAATAGCAGTTGTTACCAAGTTGAGTTGCCAAAGCCTTGTAGTTTCCAATCAGCCCTGCCTGTCATCAGACGTATGAGCTTATGACTTTTTTTTTTTTTTTTTTTTTTTTTGAGGCAGGGTCTCACTATATACCCCAGGCTGACCTGGAACTTACAGAGATCCTCCTGCCTCTCCTTCCCTAGTGCTATGACTAGAGGTGTGTGCAATCCTTCCTTTCATTAGTTTTGGATCCAGATCACTTGCCTTGGAGATGAGTTCATCGTGATTGGCCAGATGGGCTCTGCAGTGGATACAGCTGTAAGTTCGGTGACAGTGTGGCAGATAAGCTTGGAATGTTTTGGATTTGGTCATTTTCACCATGTCTGCTGGGCGCTCGTCTATCAGCTCCGGGCCAGCTCTGGAGGAGCTATGGCTCCGTCGGACTCTCTGACAAAGGAAACACTGGAAAATACATGCAAGAGCCGTTGCTGGTTTGGAAGGCGTGTGGTAGTGTCCACACACTGGGGCAAAAGAAAACCAGTGCAACCTGCAAGCAAATCAGACAGGCCCTGGTTAACATTAACAGCATCAGACATGCAAGGAGGCCTGCCGAGGGTGCAGGTAATTTGAAAAGGGAGCAGGCCTAAAAGTTAAAGATCTAACCCTTTTCATTTTATTTTGCAGTGCTGGGGATGAAGACCAGGGCTTTGTACAAAGGAAGCATGAGCTAGTCACTGAGCCCAAGGTCTCTTTTGTTTTGTTTTGTTTTTTTCAGACAGTCTCAGTCTGGCCCAGGATGGCCTTAATTCTCCTGTCTCAGTCTCCTCTAAGATCTAAGTCTTCATATCAAACGAATGCTAACATTTAATGTTGTAAGCATGCTATTTAAGAAACAAAGGCCTGTAACTCCAGAACCAGGAGACCCAACTCCTGGCTTCTCTAGGTACTGGGCATTCACATACACATACACATAAATTAAGATGAAAGTGAATGGGGCTGGAGAGATGGCTCAGCAGTTGATGGCTGACTGCTCCTCCAGAGGCCCTGAGTTCAGTTTCTAGCAACCGTCTACAGTGGGATCCAGTGCCCTCTGCTGGCATGCAGACAGCGCACTCATACATTAAAAATGAAAAGGAGGGGCTGGAGAGATGGCTCAGAGGTTAAGGGCACTGGCTGCTCTTCCAAAGGTCCTGAGTTCAATTCCCAGCAGCCACATGGGGGCTCACAACCATCCGTAATGAGATCTGGTGCCCTCTGATCTGGTGCCCTCTTCTAATGCTGTGAGCACAGGTGCAGGCAGAACAATGTATAGATAATAAACAAATAAATCTTTAAAAAAAAAATGAAAAGGAGTTTAATGTACCAAAACTCAGCTTCTAATCTAACACTATGATAAGTACATACCTGTACCAGCCCTCCAGTGGAGAAGTCCTAACTTTCAATGGTTGAGCCATCTCTTTAGCTTTTTTTTTTTTTTTACTAGACAACTATCTTGCTATTTAGTCCAAGCTGGCTTTCAACACACACTGTGCACTATCTCAGCCATCCAAGTATGTGGGATTTCTGGGGTACCACTACATCCAACTTGGGCCATTTCCTTAAAGCAACAATGTGATACTAAAACAATGGCCAGGCAGTGTCTGTGCACAGCTGGACCCAGAAGTTTGGGTTGAGGTGAGTGGTGGTTTTCCCCTGAAAGCATTTGGCAGACCCTAGCAATGGTGGGTGTCTCTTAGCAAGCCGAAGACTGACTGTAGTTGTGCTCGCACCAAGGGGACAGTTATCACAAGACCATCCTCATGTAAAATCACAGCCCCGAGTTCCACTAGTCAGAAGGTTTCAAGAACTCTCAGTAGATAGGTTTTTGCTACAGCAAGGCTCCAAGGCGCCTGGCAGAGGCAAATGCAAGCACATGTCTAGTTTGGAGAAGAATATCTGTATCCCAGTCCTGAGAAACCCCCATTAGAAGACCAGTGTAGCCGTGGGCTGGCCAAGTGGCTCGGTGGGAAAAGGTGCTTGCCACCAACCATGGTGACCTGAGCTGGGTCAGCAGGGGCCTCATGGTGGCAGTGGTACCAACTACTACAGGCCGTTCCCTGGTCTCCGCTGGCACACGGTGGCACACCCCAGCTCCCACTCAACCAAATAGTAAATGTTAAAAATTATAAGGGACACCTGTAATCCCAGCACACAGGGAGGCAGAGGCAGGCGGGTCGCTGTGAGTTCGAGGCCATCCTGCTCAACAAAGTTAAGTCCAGGACAGCCAAGATGAGTCAGAGAAATTAATGATGGAGTTTCCAGAATTGAAGACACACTAGAAGTGTCTCAGCTAAATTCCAAGCAGGAAAAACAAAAATAAAATCATGACTAGACATAGAACAAAGAAACTGAAGAACGCCAAAGGAAACAGAAAAAGGCCATAAACGTGCCCAGAAAGCTGGGAGGGGGTTAGCTGATAATCAGAAATGCTTCCATAGTAAATACCAAAACCTAGATATTATTCAAGAAGGTGCCATTAAGACTTTGGAAAGTCCTCATAATAGGGGAGTGAGAGGAGAGAAGGGAGGAGCCTATGACCGAGATGTAAATTGAATTAGTTAATAAAAAAAGACTCTGGAAACTGCTGGGAGCAGTGGTGCACACCTGTGACCCCAACACACAGGGAGGCAAAGGCAGGTGGATCTCTGAGTTTGAGGCCAACCTGGTCTACAAATCAGGTCCAGGACAGCCAAGGCTACAGACAAACCCTGTCTCGGAAAACAGAAGACTTTGGAAACACCTTTAATCCCAGCACTTGGGAGGCAGGGGCGGGCAGAGTCCAGTTCAGCCTGGTCTACAAAGTTCCAGGACAGTCAGGGCTACACAGAGAAACCCTGTCTCCAAAAACCAGAGTTAGGTGGAGGCTCACATCTCCATTCCCAGCTCCCTGGAGGGCTGGAGCAGGAGGATCCAGAGTTCTGGGCCAGCCTGGGCTACCCAGCAAAATTCTGTCCTCCCCACTACCCTCTATTTAAAAAAAAGTGACAAAATGACCTCTTACACAATTAAAAAGTTTTATTGTGAAATATTACTAAAGAAAGTTTATGGATATGCTCTAGACAAAAGAAAACACTACATAGAATCTAAACGTCACATTCACAACTAAGAGAAGAAAACAAAATGGCTTATGTGGACAGAATGTGTAGTCTTAAAAGATCTAACAGGTGACAGCAACAAGTCAGAAGAAAGCTGAAGAAAAGAATTTCAGGGTCCCTCAATTCTTCTACAAACAGTATTGTTTAATTGCAGATTAACGGATTCCTGAGATGTGAGATCAGAGGAAATTTTCATTGTTGTGCGTAAGGTATCCTTAGGGCAGTCATCATATATGTAGCTGACTAGTAACCAAAATGCTATTATAAAATAAGTTTTGATTCTGATAAAGGGTAAATCCGGTAGTACCTGATGAAATGTCCGTAAGAATAAAAATGAAGTATGTAACTTCCAAACCCGTTAAAAGGTTAAAGGAAACACAGAAGAATTATAGAAATACAGAAGAAAAAAAAGTCTATTTAAAAGGACTCAAGAGAGGAGAGAAAAGAAACAACACAAAGTAATAGAAATCACAAAGATTTAAATCAATTATTCATCAATGCTTACATTACATGTAAACACACTAAAAGTTTAAGGTTGTAGACTACATCAGAAAACAAAACCCACAGACACCGTTCACAAGAGCCATCTCAGATATATGGACAAAGGACCGCTAACACACTAAGGCCTGTGTGACAGAGCTATGGTATCTGAGTTAAATTTTTCACTAACACTGCATTTGTTCTGTGTGATTCACAATGCAGAAGAAATTAAAACTGAGAACGATACACTGCAGGAAATAAAAGATGAAAGGGCTGGAGAGAAGATGCAGCAGTTAAAGAGCGCAGAGTGCTTTTCTCAACACCCCACATGGGTTCCATTCCAGCATCCATGTGGGATGGCTTACAGCCACCTGTAACCAGAGCTGCAAGGGCACCTGCACTCAGGGCACGCGTGCTATGAGATTTGCCAAGGAGAGCTCAACTTCTGAAGGGTTGGTGGGTGGCTGAGCCTAACGCATACTTCCCCACACTGAGGACCCTCCAAAGCGTCAGGGCAGAAGCCAGAGCTTCCAGGAAGAAGCTGCACCTAGACAGACACAAGGTGCTCTTAGCTCACTGTTCAGCTTGGGTCCAGGTTATGAACTGAATGTTTCAAGCAGAGGGCTGGAAACATGGACAGCTAGGTTTGAGCTGTATATAGGAGCTGGTTGAGAAAAACTGGAGAGGTGCCTCTGGAGAGGTTAAGATCACTTGGCTGTTCTTGCACAGAACAGGGCCAGTTTTCAATTCCCAGCACCTACGTGGCAGCTCACAACTGTCTGTAACTTCAGTCCTAGGGAATCCGACACTCTCTTCTGGCCTCCACAGGCACTACACACACATGCAGGCAAGACACCCATATACATAAAACAGAAAGGAAGAAAATCTAGCTGAGCGTGAGCAAGCTAGTAAGAATCATGCTTCAGTAGTTCTGCGCCAGGTTCCTGCCTCAGCTTCCCTCAGTAATGGAGTACGATGAAATACATTCCTCCCCAGGTTGCTTGTGATTATAGTGCTTATCACAGCAACAGAAAGCAAGCGATGACAGAGGCCTTCACTACGCGGTCCTGCTTTCTCAAGGCACCCTCATCCGAGAGGACCTGAAAGCCTCGGTGGCCTGAGACACTCCGGACTGGTGACAACGGTAGGAGCTTCCGAAAAGGAGAGCCCCACGCTACTTTCAGCCTGCGGGGGGCTTGGCTGCAGGCGGACCCTCCCATCCCGCAAGCACCCCCACGCCACATGCACAGTCTCCACTGAGACTGCAGCCCTTCAGTCGTTCTGACTAAACGAACAGTTCTGTTTCTGGAGGTGCCCGTCTACTTTTCTTTAATTCTCATGTCTCCTCCATCACTCCTGACCTCACAATCTGCCTATGTGTCACAGTCCCCAAAGCAGCTCCTACTAAGTCTGCTGTGATCTTTGAATTCCCTTTTCCCCCCCGTCAAGGGCAGCTCGAAGCTTCAGGTCATCTACAGCTCTCTCTCTCTCTGTCTCACAGCGCAGCAGCAGCAGCTCTGACAGCAGCCATCTCTGAAGGCGCGACACGGTGCTCTGTGTCAGCTGAACTGGGCTTCAATTAGAAGCCATGCAATGAGAAAACAACCGCAAGATCTGACCAACAATCAGGAAGCACTGTGAAGGGGCTGGAAAGCCACTGACAGTCTGCTGGGTGAACCGTGCCTGTGGGGCAGACACTGGAGTCCCTCGAGTGTGGAGGGTATCCATCTCCACAGCAGATACTGGTTTTTGTTTTTTCCCTTCTTAGCAAACCAGTATATTGGGTTCCAGAAGTTTCTCACCTAAAATAAGCACATGCAGTTATTTTAAGAGTCTGTGGATCAGCTCATGTCCATATGGTGCAATTACCACACTGTGGAAGACGATGAGGGACAGAATAAAGCCCAGCGCCCTTGATGCTGTGAGGGGTGGAGCCATGGTACCCTCCAGCCAGCCACAACCCTCCTTTTCTCTCTTTGTCGGGGTCTCTCCTTGGAGCTGTGGCTGGCCTGGAACTTCCTGTGTAGGCAGGCTGACCTAGAATTCACAGGGCTCTGCCTGCTCTACCTCCCAAGTGCTGGGACCACCTGGCCACCCCTTTAACTGCACCCAGCCTTCTCCACAGCCCTACCACTGGCTCCAATACTGCACAAACAAGCGAGTGAACTTGGGCCAGTCTATAATTTTATTTGCTACCTGGAAGGCTGACTGAGCCCAGTAACTTGAAGCCAGCAGGGGTGACGGTGCAGCCTCTTGCAGGGTAGGGAGGTTGCATCTAGAACACTCCTGGCTGTGTGTCCCTGCCCTGGAGTAGTACACCCCAGCAGTTCACATTTGCAAAGCAATTGGATGAAAGCACTCACGATATTCCCGTGGAATAACTGAAAATTAGAAAGCACCTCGGAGAGTCTGCAAATGCCCTTGTGTTCAGAGATACTGCCAAGATGGGGCCCCGGGGCTGCAGTGAACACAGCTAGCTTCCTTCTCAAGGCCTGATTTTCTTGGGCCTTTGTGCACACCACCCACATGGCCACAGGACAACTGATGAGTTGGCTCTTTCCACTCTGGGTCCCAGGGACCAAACTTAGGTCGTTAAGATTGGCAGCAGGTGTTTTCACCACTTGGCCATCTTGCTGGCCCTACACCTTTCCATTTTGATGCCAAGCACACAAACTGACTATTGAGATGCACAGCACCTACACGGGCATGGGAAGATCTGGAAGTGTAGCTAGAGCTGGCTTTTGGGGGCATCTACTTCTTTCCTCATATCCATTGTTTCCCTACTTGCATCACGGGGCGAGAAGCTTTCTCCCACACCGCAGACACCTATACAGGGGCCCCAAGACAAAGTGCCCTGTGCCGGCTGTGGATTCACAGGACCCACGGGATGTGGCACCTCCACACCCGATATTCTAGACACCTCTTCCCTCTGCCCGCATCTTCCACTGATAACATGTACAGCCGGAGAGGCTGCAGTTTCGGCCCCCAGGCACGTGCCACCTGAAAGCTGCCCGGTTTCTTCCGCTAGCACGGTAGCTGTGAAGACGGCTGGAGAGGAGAGAACACAGCTGGCAATTTGTTGTTGTTGTTGTTTGTTTGTTACAGGTTCAGCTTTTTATTGGACATGTTGTGCCTGCATGTGTGCTTGAGAACCAGAAGAGGGCGCCAGATCTCATTATAGATGGTTGTGAGCCACTATGTGGTTGCTGGGAATTGAACTCAGAACCTTTGGAAGGACAGCCAGTGTTCTTAACCTCTGAGCCATCTCTCCAGCCCCACAGCTGGCAATTTTTAAGTTTTCCTTTTAATTGTGTGCGTGTGTGTGTTGGTATGTGCGTCAAGGGCGAGAGCTGTGTGTCAGGGTGTCAGATCCCCTGGACTGCAGTTACAGTTGGTGGTAAGCTACCTCACGTGGGTGCCAGGAATCAAACTTGGGCCCTCTCTAAGACCAGTACGTACTCTTAATCACTAAGCCCTTTGTTTTGTTGTTTTTAGACAGGGTCTTGTGTGGCCTAATACTCCGTATAGAGCTCAGGATGACCCTGAATTCCTCCTCCTCCTGCTACCATGCCTGGCTAAATAAGTTTTTATTTTTCTTTAAAGACAGAGTTTTGCTATGTAGCGTTGACTGATCAGGAACTCACCAGGCTGGCCTAGAACATACTGAGACCCCTGTCTCTGCTTCCTGAGTGCTGGCCTGGCTAAACATTATTTACTTACACGCTGAATAAAAATATAATTAAGCATTCAAATGTTCCGCTCCATGCGTGCCTGCTGATGGTGTGTGGGACCTAGGCATTGAGTTATCGCATCAGGGTAACTCCTGGGGACAAAACTGATCTCATTCCGTCTCATACTGCCTCCCAGAATCCTTAGCGCTCTACCTACTCACGATTTTTACCTGTTCCTAAATCCTTACCTAAAAATTTCCATTCCTCTTGCCTCCCATCAGGTTTTCGGATTGGGGAGACCTGCATTTATGAGCTGCTGCTTTATATTTTAAATTCCTGGTGCACTTATCAGCCCTCCATCAAGAAAAGTGCACCAGGACTACCCAGCCTTGACTGCTACACCCCCGCCTCGACATGGGTGCTTGTGGGGCTGAAGGCAGATTGCTGCTGATACACAGAGGCAGACTCACCAACCGTGGGTCTTTAAAAATACAAAGACAACCTGAGACTTAGGAACAGGGTTTCCTGAGTTACTGGACCAAGTGTACCACAGTAATGGAGGGTGGGGTGACCTGGGTGTGGGTTCGGTGGGACGGCCAGAGCCGAGCTAGGAAGTTTTGATTTGTGGGTAGCAGGGATGGAACCGAGTGCCTCACACATGCTAAGCACATGTTCTGCCACTGAGCCACATTCCTAGCTCTTCGGCAACATGTCAATCTAAAGTTATTCTACAATAAGTCTATAAAATTGGAGCCATGGGTGGAGTAACTGATGGAGCACGTGCCTAGAATGCTAGAGTCCTGAACCAAAAAGGGGGTATGGAAACTGTAGAGCACAGTGGCAATATCAAGGCACTATTACAAAAATAAAGGAAACTATTGAGTCAGCAATGTAATTAGATAACTGGACACAAGCAGATAATGTCTTGTGTCAAAACAGCTCAAAACCCTCCCTGGATTGATTTCAACCCCAGCATCAGATGGTAAGCACGTGTACGGCTCCTCTTTCTCCAACTGGAAAAAGCTTTGGTCGGAAGTTGCACATCCCTGAAATGGCAGTCAACATAGCCAACCAGGGAGACCTTGAACCCTGGAGGAGGCAGAGGACCTCAAGCATGGGCTAGAAGAGAAAATGATCAAGAAAAGCACATTGCATTTCATGAGAACAAAAAAGCAAAAATATAGACTGTTATTTAGACTGGTCACTAACATGGTTGTTTGTTTCTTTGACTGATTTTTAGTGTTTCCTGGACTGCTGCATGTCTGAGGTAAGGCAGGAATTTGCTCTAATCTCCAAGACATGCTAACCACATAGGGCTAGGAACACAAAGGCCTTGAGATCTGGGTAGCAGTGATCTTCAAACATGCCAGCCCTGTCTCTTTAAGAGCCCACACACAATGGCTGGAGAGATGATCGCATTTGTTGTTCTTGTGGAGGACTCTGTAGGATTCCCAGAATCCTTCACGATCATCCAGAACTTCAGCTCTATGGGATACCATACCCTCTTTGGACTTCTGTGGGCACCAGGTACACACATGCTAAATACACAAACATACAGGTACTTATGTGCATCTCACTATACACAGGAACACAGGCACCCACTGGGCCAGCTCATGGACACAGGGAAACAGCCTCCGGGGAGAGGGAGGCAGGTAGTCAGGAAACATCTGTTAACACAGTTACTGGAACACAACAGAGGTACAGGGCGATGGGTGATGGACCTGGAAAGGTTGCCCAGAGGAGGTAAGCCTGGTCTTGGGACCTGAGGAGTTTTGCAGAGCAAGGAGCCAAAACAAATCAGGTTAAGGTGAATACATTTTGGATAGTCAGAAGGCAACTGCATTCGAAAGACCTTGGGATGAAGAATGGTATTTTCAACATCTATTATCTATCCAAAACAGACCTCTGGTGGCTGTCATATCCTGGAGCTCAGCATGCAACGTGGATATCGAAGATGAGCATTTGTGCAGGTATTGAGGAGAAAATATCTTACTTAGTTGCTACCGCTGGCAATTTGCACTAATAAAGCCTAGAGCCACAAGTGGTAAACAATGAGGGCAATTCCTTTCAGTTATTATTCTACAGGCAACTTGAAAATGCTACACCTTAATTAATGTTCCTTTATTGGAGGAAGGTATCTTCTGTAATCATTACCTTTTTTTGTTTTGTTTTGTTTATAAGGAAACAATAGGGAGGAAAAGGAAGGTTTTAAAACATCAAAAGACCGGGGTTTTGCGTTATCTTCCAAAACCGAGTAAGCCAAATTACAACACATCGGAAGAGCAGAAGAAAGAGTCGAGGCGTCCTCCGCGCTCCCGCCCCGCCCGCCCGCGCCCAACAGGTGCTTCCCCGCCCTCTGGGCGCCGCGGATCCTCAGGTCGCCGCCGAGCACCCGCCCGAGGCCCGCCCGTACTCACGGCCGCTCGGCGGTCCGCGGCCCGGTCCGCAGCGCCCATCCGGCCCCGGCTCTGTCGGAGCGGGCTCGGCGCTCAGGCGGTCCCGGTGCGGCCCGGGACGCGGTGTGGCCGTTGGCGCCCTGGCCCGCCGCGAGGCATCCTCCCGCCGCCGCCCCGCGGCCGCCTGCCCTTTGTTTTGGAGCGGTGGCCCGGCCCCGCCGCCATAAACGGCCTCGGAACGTGGCGCTGGCCAAGCCAATCAGTGCCCGCGGCCCGCCCGCGCCGGCCCGCCCTCCGCGCGCCCGCCCGCCCGCCCGCTCGCACGGTGCAGCGCTGCAGGAGCTCGGCTGGAGCTGCCCGCCCGGGCGGAGGTCGGAGGGGCTCGCGGGGCGGGGCCTGGCGAAGGCCACCGAGCGGGCGCCGGCCGGACGGGAGGCCCGGGTCCCCGGACGGCCGCGGGCTGCGCGCAAGCCCTCTGCAGCTGGGTCCCTAGAGCGCAGGCTTCTTCGCTCTCTCCATACCGACCACTCGTTCTCAACTCCAAGTCAGCACGTGAGACTCCAGATCTGCGTGGACTTGAACTGTGGGACCCCGCACCCCCCCCCCCCCAGAACTCCTGCCTGCCTGCACCCATTCTCCAGGTCCACATCTGCGCCCTTTCCAACACGTCTGCTTTTTTCCTCGGTCTCTTCAGATCGATTTTTAAATAAAAGGCCGCTGCTAAGGGTGGGCGGCACATTTTAGCATGTATTAGCGCCCGCTAGCGTGTTTGTTAGTATTTATTGAACTGAGAACGACGCTAATTGGTTAGATTGTGGCTTTTCTGGTCAGTTATCCATGAGTTGCCATTTACTTAGGGACTCTCCCAAGCGAATGGTTGTTCTCCTGACTTCTCGATTCCTAGCTTGAAGATGGACTCTCACGTCTTTTGGTTTTTAAGGAATGGTCTCCCTGACTAAAGCTGGCCTCAACTTATGTATGTAGCCCAAGGATGATCTCGAACTTTACATTTCAAACTTACACGGTGTGCGCGTGCGCGTGCGCGTGCGGCCTACGGTGAAGGCTAGAAGTCCGGCTAGAAGTCCTTTCTGCTTGTCTCTTAACACTGTGGGTCCTGGAGTCTGAACTCAGGGCATCAGGCTTGAAAGGGGCACCCTTACCCACTAAACCATCCAGCTGATCCTTTCATTGTTAAAGCAGTTAATCCCTTTTTAAGGTTTATTTTTATTTACATGTGTTAATGTGTCCCACATATGTGCATGCCCCTGGAGTCCAGAAGAGGGCATCCAATCTTCAGGAGCTAGAATTACAGGTGATTTTCAGCAACCCAAAGGGGTCCTTGGGAATCACATTTCACGTCGTGTGTGTGTGTGTGTGTGTGTGTGTGTGTGTGTGTGTGTGTGACAGAGTCATAGAGACAGAGAGACACAGACCTACTGCATTTGAGCGTGAGTGGGACAATTTCCCAGTGCCAACACCACGGAAGAGTGATTCTGGCAAGCACACCTTTAACTCTAGCACATGCCTTTAATTCTAACAGAGGCAGGTGGATCTCTGTGAGTTTAAGTTCATAGTGAGTTTCAGTCAGGGCTACCCTGTTCCAAAAACAAGGAGAAAAAAAAAATCATTTTAAAAGGTTAGAACAATGGCTCTGGGGTTGAGATCCCTTGCTGCTCTTACAAGACCCAAGTTTAATTTCCCAGCACTCATATCAGATGGCTGGTAACTTCAGTTCCAGGACATCTAATGCCTTTTCTGGTCTTTGTGGGATCGACACATATACACACACATAAACACACAGGCATACACATGCAAACACGAAAACATACAATGACTATTTAAAAACAGAAAAAGATTTGCTCTCCCCAGCAACTATTAACTACAGTAGATCCTCAGGGAGGGTGGGGTCTAGCACCCTCAGGGAGGGTGGGGATGTAGTTGGGTTCTGTCTTCTGAGTTCCTTGGGGGCAGCAGCCATACCATGCTCAGAAAACTGTTCCACAGCTTCCTTCCTGCCCTTCAACTATTACACTCTTTTTCCCTGTCTTCACTGTGCTCCCCGAGCCTTGGAGGGTGGACACAAACGTCCTGTTTGGGGCTGAGTACTTAGCAGTCTCTTGGTTCCAGCACTCTAACCAGGTATGACTGTTCGCTGTTGCCCACTGCAAACAAAATCCTCCCTGACCAAGGCCGAGAGCAGCACTGACCTGGGCATGGCTGTGAACAGAAGTATTTATCGGGTTTTGTTTTGAGTCAGGTTTCTCTGTGTAGCCCTGGCTGTCCTAGACTCACCAGGCTGGCCTCAAACTCACAGAGATCTGCCTACTTTTGCCTCCAGAAGTACTGGGATTACAGGTATGTACCACCAAGCCTGGCACATCCTGTAACTCTTGGTCCAGGGGATCTGATGTGCTCTTCAGGCCCCGGTATGGTCACTGTCTTAGGGTTTTATTGCTGTGAAGAGACACCATGACCCCAGCAGCTTTTATAAAGGAAAGCATTTAATTGGGTCTGGTTCTTACAGTTTCAGAGGTTTGGTGCATTATCGTCGTGGTGGGGAGCATGGCAGCGTGCAGGCAGACATGGTGCTGGAGGAGCCGAGAGCTCTACATCTTGATCCGAAGGCAGCAGGGGACCCTGTGCCACACTGTGCTTAGCTTGAGCATGTGAGACCTCAAAGCCTGTTCCCACACTGACACTTCCTATGGGCCTAGCATTCAGACATGAATCTGTGGTGGCCAGACCTAGTCAAACCACCACGGTCATGGTGCACAAACTACACGCAGACACTCACACATACGCATACAAAACAAAACAAAAAACCTAAAACCACCGGTTGGCAAGTGGCGAAAGCCTTTAATCCCAGCACTCTGGAGGCAGAGGCAGGTGGACCTCTGTGAGTTTGAGGTCAGTCTGGTCTACAGAACAAGTTCCAGGAGAGCCAAGGCTACACAGAGAAACCCTGTATATGAAGTGACTCAGAAAGCTGCTGGGTCTGTGTGGGGCCTAGAACATAAGGCTTCCCTATGGGTCCAGGCTGGGGTGCAGGCTAATCTACCACTTGGACCATATGATCCAGGAGACCTGACTGTATCTGAGGTGTCAGTGGCAGATAAGGATGCTGTTTGGAGGTTTTGGCAGGCTATTATAGGTAAATCACAGAAGACACCTTTGGGATTTTGGAGCAAAGCTCTACCATCATTTGCAGACAACTACTCTAGCTTTGAGAGACAGCTCTTGGCCTGCTATTGGGCCATCAAGTTAACACGTGACATGAGCTGCCCATTATAATCTGAGTGTTATCTGAATCACCAAGCCATAGAGTAGGATATGCACAGCAGAAATCTATTATCAAATGGAAGTGGTATATACATGATAGGATCCAAGCATGTCCTGAAGACACAAACAAGTCACATGAAGAAGTTGCCCAAATACCTATGGTTTCTACTCCCATTACCATGCCATCTGCTGCCAAGCATGCACCTGTAGCCTCATGGGGTGTGCCTCATTGATTGACTGAGGAAGAGAAGACTAGGGTCTGGTTTACTGATGGTTCTGAACATTATGCTGAGACTACCCAGAAGTGGCCAGCTGCGGCATTACAACCCGTTCCTGAGACAGCCCAGGACACCAGCAAAGAGAAATCTTCAGAGTGCAGAACCTGGGACAGTACACATGGTCATACATTATGTTTGGAAGGAGAAATGCCCAGATGTGTGATTGTTCACCGATTTATGGGCTGTAGCCTATGGACTGGCTGGATGGCCAGGGAAGGAGCATAGTTGGAAAATTGGTGAGAAAGACATCTGAGGAAGAAGCATGTGAAGAGATCTCCACAAATGAGCGAAGGATGTGGAGATAATTGTGTCCCATGTTGCTCCTCAAGAGGCGACTTCAGCTGAGGAGGAGTTCAGTAATCAAGAAGGCAGGACGATACATTCTGTGGACTGTCTTTTTCCCCAGCCATCCCTGTCATTACCCAATGGCCCACAAACAAAATGGTCATGATGGCAGAGGAAGTTCTGCATGGACTCGACAAGCTGGACTTCCACTACAGCAGCTGACGAGTGCCAGATATGGCGACAGCAGAGACCTGGGAGTGTGGTGCCACACCTTTGACCCCAGACTCGGGAGGCAGAGGCAAGCGGACCTCTGAGTTCAAGGTCAGCCTGGTCTACAGAGTGGGTTCCAGGACACTGGAAAAGACAGTCCACTCCAAAGTTCTGTTCCAAATCCTGGCATGAGCCGGGAGGAAGCAACTTATATTGGTACACCCTCCACGAACACTGAACGCACTGCCGTGCCAGACACATCTGGGTGCCCGTGGTCTCCTCTGCCCTGAGAGGGATGAAGGCTCTCCAGAACCCACACGTTTCTAAACTTAGCTGGTTCCCTAATAGCTTCCTGTGTGACCTTTCAAGCCCATTAGGGATGTGTGCAGATGCCACGGACACAGCAGCCACATTATCTTTTTTTTTTAATTTTATTTTTCTTTTTAGTTACATTTTGTTAACTCTGTGTCCCAGCTGTACACATGTTATCTTATGTTCTTTCCAAATGAAGACATTTCCAGCTTTAGGACCTAAGAGCAGGGATGAATTTACGTTGTTGATGGAAGCAGTTGCCATGGCACCGAGCTGCCCTTGGAGCTGCCAGCTGCCACTTGATTTCCCCATTTTTCTGCAAATGAAGAAGTGTAGGAAACTAAGAACCTGCCTCCCACTGTGAGGGAGAAAATAAACTATGCATGTTAATTAGAAAGCCAACCAATGATGGGAATGTATATCTTTGGAATGACTATGCAAGCAAGGTACAGGACGTCTCCCTGACTTAAAAGAAATCACGAGACAATTTTGTTAAAAAGGCAGATGCTATGGGCTAGAGAGGTGGCTCAGTAGTTAAGAGCGCTGGCTGCTCTTTCAGAGGTCCGGAGTTCAATCCACAGCTCCCACATGGTGGCTCACGACCATCTGTACTGGGATCTTCCGCCATGCAGAGAGCCCTCATGCACACAAAATACACAATAAATAAAAAACGCAGACACTACGCGGTTAACCTGAGATCCTCCATCATTTACAAAATACAGGGGTATGGTGGAAAGACGGCTCAGCCAAGCACCTAAGAGCAATGGCTACTCTTCCCGAGGACCAGGGCTGGGATCTCAGCACATGGCAGCTCTAACTCCAGCCCCAGGGCCTCAGTGGGCACTGCACAGATGTGGTACACATACACACAATAAATTCACACAGTATGTACACACAAAAATAAAAAGTTAAAAGGAAACAAATTGTAAGCTGTAATTAACACAAAAGTTTGCCACCTTAGCCCTTTTTCCTCATCTATCCCTCAAACTCGGTGGCCTTGAACTTTTGATCTGCCTGCCTTCACCTCCTGAGATATATTCGGCACCATGCTTCCTTTATTCTGTGCTTGTGACGGATGCCAGGGCTTCAGGAGTACATTTTACCCACTGAGCTCCATCCTCAGCTCCAGCACAAACCACGCTGTTGTTTTAGAGACAGGTCTTGCTATGTAGCCCTGGTAACAGAACCAAGTCTAAGAGCAGAGGAGGATACAGTATATTTACAAAAAAGCTTAAGTTTAACTTACTCTCTTTTCAGTGCTGGGAATGTACCTGCTAGGCTCAGCTAAAATACTTTTCTTCCTTCAAGAATGAAACTCTATCTCAATTAAGTAACACCTATCCTCCCACAGCCTGCCCTGGTGATTGGATGTGGTGAGGTGGTGGGTGCTGGCCTGTGGGCTTCGTATTTGAGGGCTAGGCTTTGATTTTGAACTGTTTTGGTGGCTGAACCTAAGGAAGGCAGCAGGCATTGTGACTTTGGATGAGCAGAGAGCAAGCCTACCTACTTACCTCAGAAATGCGGCCAGGGAGAGATGGCTTGCTTGCTCTGGCGTTGGTCTGAGCATCCCTCCAGAGCTTTACATGCTGAGGTTCAATTCCTGCTGTGAGGTACTGGCAGAGTGAATGTTCAGTCCAATGTTTAGACCTCTGAGAGGTGATCAGAATTGAATAAAGCCAACAGAGTGGAGCTGCGAGGAGAGGCGGCGGACAAAGCAGGAGGCACATGTGTGCTGGCTCTTGCCACACGAAACACTGTGCTGATCTAAGCCTCTGGCAGGAGTAAAAAGTCCTCTCCAGATGCTACACTGTTGCATTGAGGTTCCCAGCCGGGTAGGAAGCTGACTTGACTCCACTTTTGGCTGGATCAGCCAGTATCAACATCTTTATCCGTGCTGCAACGTTCTTTCTTCATTGTCAAGGAGCTCCACCCTGGTGATGGACTCACTGAACTGAAACAAACTCCGTCTCACTGGGCCCGGGACACCAGCCAGCCCGAGGCACTGCATCTACACCTGGTACTATCAAAAGTGCCTTTTGAGCTTCCAAGACACGGTTTTCTCTGTACAGCCCTGGCTGTCCTAGAACTCAACTCTGTAGACCAGCCTGCCCTTGAACTCAGAGATCTGCCTGCCTCTGCCTCCTGAGGGCTGGGATTGAAGACCACTTGGTCTTTGCAGTGGTCATTTTCCTGACCATCAGTGGTGACAGGTGAGGGGCAGGCTGTGCTCAGAGAAGCACACAATCTCTGCTCTGGCTGTCGGGCTGGGCTGGAAATGAGGCAGGTGTTTGCTTTTTTTTTTTTTTTAGACAGATTTTTCTCTGTGTCACCTTGGCTGTCCCAGAACTTGCACTTGCTCGGCAGACCAGGCTAGCCTCGAATTCACAGAGATCTGGCTGCCTCTGCCTCCCAAGCGCTGGGATTAGAGTGTGCCACCACTGCCCTCCAGGTGTCTGCATTCTTTATTCATTTTTACTGTTTTGTCTCCAGCTCCATCAGCTCTCTGCACTGTTGTCTGTGGTGGCTCGTGTGAAATCAGAAACAAAAACAACAAAACCAGGCCAGGAAGAATGATTCAGTGGTTAGAAGTGCTGGCCATGGAAACTTGATGAGCTGAGCTTCATCCTCAGATCCCAAGGGAGACAAACGTGGAGGACAGAGGACGACCCATAGGAGTGGGTTCTCTCCTTCCACCACATGGGTCCCAGGGATTGAATTCACCCAGGTCATCACTTGATGGCAAGTGCCTTTCTCCACTGGGTCATCTAAACAGTCCGTCCATCCATCCATCCATCCATCCATCCATCCATCCATCCATCCATCCATCTCTAGGCAGGGTCTTTCCCGTGTAGCTGTCCTGGAACTCACAGAATCTGCCCACCTCTACTTCCCAAGCGTTGGGACTAAAGGCGTGCAAAACAATGCCCACTCTCCTCACGCCTTTCCAGACAGGTTCTCAGTAGGTAGCTCAGGCTGGCCTGGAGCTTGGGATCCTTATCCCTTAGCCTCGTGTGTGCTGGGTTTACAGGCCTAGCCCATCATGCTTGCTCAGTCTATGTAAGCAACTCTATCAATGGAAGGAAGGTGGTTAAAAAAAGACGTCTCCCCACGTACGTCAGGCTGATCTGCCCCTGTGTTCCTCCCACTTCAGTCAGCTCCTGGCTTGCGAGAGCAAGCACGTGTCCTTAATCTTTCTTTCCTTCCCTCCTTCTTTCTCTGAGGTTTCTCAAGAAAGGGTTTCTCTGTGTAGCCTTGGCTGTCTTGGACTAGTGAGCAGGCCAGGCTGGCCCCAAACTAGACATGCCTGCCTCTGCCTCCCCGAGTGCTTGGATTACAGGTGTGTGGCACTGCGCCCAACTTTTTTCCATATTTAACAGATTTTTTATTATTTTTATTGCCAGGGTCATCCATGCTGGGCTGGAGTTTTAGCCTGGTGGTAGAGCATGTGCCAGACAGGAACAAGCCCCAGGCCTCTCTCTCGTTTTTTTTTTTTTTTTTTTTTTTTTTTAAGATTTATTACATATACAGTGTTCTGCTTTCGTGAATGCCTGCACACCAGATCTCATTATAGATGGTTGTGATCTCAGAACCTCTGGAAGAGCAGGTAGCAGAACCGCTCTTACTCTCTGAGCCATTTCTCCAGCAACCCCCCCCAGGGGGGGGCATCTCTTGAGATAGTTCAGGGGATGTTACATCATTCAGATTCCCTTGTATACCAGAGACAGTGGGGCAATTAAACAGTCCCAATTAGACTATCCCAGAAGCAGGGATCCCATGGGTGCAACTTGGGAAGGTCCTGGTCTCCATCCTGGGAGAGTTGCCTTTCTGTCCTGCCTTGAGTGGCTGCAGTTTGAATCAGACATGCTCGGAACTGACCATTGGGACTCGCAAAGGGCCCAGCTCAGCCCTGTGGTGGGTGGGCTCAGGCAAGCTCAGACACTTCTTAGGGTGTGTGACCTAGTTCCTGCTGTCTGTGGTCGCTGTGACAAGCGGGATGGAGGTGGGGAAGTCCTGGGAAGGCTGGTGCTCATTCCTCTCACACCAAGGACCAGGCACCTGACGTGACATGTGCAACCAAGAAAAGAGAAAGCTAAAAGCAGGCAGGACCTGGAGAGGAAAGAGGATGTGTCAGCAGGCCTTTGGGGTACCAATGCTGAGACAGAGTAACTCCAAGTTGAGACTGGCTTGCTTGAAAGTACTCAGTCACTCAGTACAGCAGGGTCGACTCAGGCCCTGGGCCTACCTGAGTTCCAGGGACCAAGACTGACCAGCCCTTAGCCACTGAGATGTACTGCCTGGCTCTGGCTGCCAAGGTGCCCAACAATGGTACCTGTTTTCTTCTGAGACACCTGATTTCTGATCTCTAATGGACAGCATCCTATTGTTGCAGCCAATTCTTAAGTGATAACAGCAGAGAGCTCATAGGGAGCCCTGAGTGGACTCCAGGAATTGTTTTGTGTCAGTTTTACATGGCTCCCATGCATCTGTGCCTCCATCCTAAGGTGATGCCACAGTCAAGCTGTGGCTGCCCCTAGTCCTGTCATCTAAGTTCCCGTCTGCCTGGGCAAAGTTGCATACAGCAGACACTGGTCGCTTGCTCCTGAAACCCCAGTGCTGAGCAGGACAGGAAAGAAGCACTGTTTCTCCTTTCACGACATCATCTGCTTTTCAAACTCAAACAAAAGTTATTAAAATGTTCCTTGTGTGGCCCACTCACTCACGGCTGCAGCAAATAAGCACCTTTCAAGGAAATTCACCTTGACAGGTGGGTTCAATGCTCCAGCCTGTTTCGTAACACTGACCCCTCCTTTGCCCTTCAACCTTTCCTTGAGGTGGGATGAGGCCACCCCCAACAGCACAACAGCACAGCTTCATTCACTTCACTGTTCTGGTACTGCCTTTCCTTCCCAACTGAAACAAATTCTGATGGTGGCAGCTGCTCAAAAGCAAAGCAAAACACAAAAAACTAATCAGATTTTCATGCATGCGAGTGCAAGTGGGTCCCAAGGATCAAACTGAGCATTGGCAAGAAGTGCCTTTATCTCTGGAGTCGCCTTGATGGCCCAGATGGAGTTTCATTCTTTACTAGTGGTCAGTGAATTGTCTAACTGGTGCGAGTGGGTGTAAGCCAGAGGCACTGTGATTTAAATGCATAGGCACTTCATTTTTAATCCGTTAACAAGTAAGCTGAACCCTGGCTTCTCTGCTGGACCAACTAGCCCCGCAAATCCATTGTCTTTAGATCTGCCTCTCTCCCTGTTGCTTCTCCCAAACAGGCTCTCAATTAGGTGTGTTCAACCTTTTGACATTGT